ATTTATTTATTTATTTATTTATTTATTGAATTTGTGCCCCACCCATTTAGTCCACTGACTACTCTGGGCGGCTAGCAACATATAAAAATAAATCATTTAAAATATAAAACAAGCAACACAACAATAGACAAGGACTCGAGATGAAAAAAAGAAAAAAATAAATCAAGAGGTGGCTGGTGGGAAGGCTTGCCTAAATAGCCAGGTTTTCAGTTGGCCTTCGAAAATGCCCAACGAAGGGACCATACGAATCTCAGAAGGGAGGCTATTCCAAAGGCGAGGAGCCACTGCCGAGAAGGCCCGGTTTCTTGTTTTTAAGAGACTTCTTCCATTGCGAACAATCTTCCATTGCACTGGTGTGCAAATTTGCCAGGTTTTGCACCAATTAATAATCATCTTTGAAGGGCAGAGATGGGTTGGACCCTCTGGATCATGGAGTTCAGCCCTTGTCAAGGAGGCTCAATGAGGCATCAAACTCCCAACCCCCAGCTCTGCAGCTGGAGACCGAAACCACAGAGCGATCCAACCAGCTAAATGACTGACCCCTAATTTGGAATGTTTCACATCGTCATCATCTTAGAACTACAGAGCTGAATATCATTGTCATCTTAGAACTACAGAGCTGAAAGAGACTTTATGGACCATGGAGTCCACCCCCCCATCAAGGAGGCAGAGTGGGGAATCTATGGACCATGGAGTCCACCCCCCCACATCAAGGAGGCAGAGTGGGGAATCGTACTCCCAACCTCTATCCAGCGTTACACAACCAGTTGCCTAATTGCACTTGATGAGTTGCCACAATTTAGGAGGACGGTGTTGTTGTTTCAGGATTGGAAGCCCTGGATGGGTTCTTAGCAACCAGCCACCCTTTCTGCCCTCCTTCTGTAGGAGTGCTGGGCTCCTTAAAGGAGGCTAGAGACATTTTTACAAACCTTGCGCCAACCTTGGGAGCTGAGTGGAAGGTTTCCTTGTCTCACTCTCAGGCAGAGGTGAAGCATCCCTCGGGGTTTTTAAATTCCTCTGGGAGGTATCCTGCCATCCCAGTTTTACTGTGCTGTCGCTCTACTGCCCCAACCTCTTTATTATTTTTTCTCCTTTATTATTTCTTATTTAGTGTTTTTCCCCCATGGGGGAAAAAGGTTATCTTGACTGCCCCACTATGCGCAAGGATGCACATATCAGGGCCATAGGTCATCCTTAAGGTGCTTCAATGTTTAGAAGGCTGTGGTTTTTTTGCACAGGTCCACATCCAGAACGCCACCCTGGCCGGCGGGGTTGCTGTGGGGACAGCAGCCGAGATGATGCTGACCCCCTACGGTTCCCTCATCGTCGGCGCCATCTGTGGCATTGTCACGACCGTGGGGTTTGTCTATATCACGGTAAGGGGCGCTCTGGGCCTTTGAAAGCCATGGCCTCCTCCCGGGACCCTCCTGAGATGAAGATGAAGCTTGTGCTGTCAGTAGCCAGCAGGGCTAGTGAGGATGATGGGATCTGTAGTTCTGTCTGGATGAGTCCAGGTTGGGGGAGAGGCCAGCTTTAAAGACTCACCAACCCCCAGGGCAAGAAATGCAGAAGAAACAGTGTTTTTTTTTGCCTTGGTTAATCTTTCAAGTTCTTCTTATTCGCAAAAAAGCACCATGTCTGACTGTTGAACTAACATGCACCCGTTGGAAACTTGCTTCTGGTTTTCTGTGCATGACAGATCGACAAGGTGTGTCCGCTACTCAAGGACTGCAGCTGGACAAGGTTTTAGTTTTTCATAGCTCTGTCCCATGGTTCTTAGGATTTGTAGACCTGCAAGGCCCTGGGGATTCTTGGCTGGAGAGCTTTAGTGAGCCCCCACCCACTACAACGCTACAACTCTCTGTACCTCTTCAAGTGACAAAGGACAGCCGACTGCTAGAAGGGCCAGGGAGGGTCTAGAAGATGGGGTGGGCGGCTGGCGGAGGGCCACCATCAAGCATCCTGGAAAAGGGCATCGGACCCATTGGCAGGCTAGAACTCTTCCTAGGGAAGCCCCATGGGACAAGAGGGGGTTGCCAATCCCATCCGTCACTCCTCAACAGCTCCGCTTTGCTCTTCCTTCCTCCCTGCCAGCCTTTCCTGGCATCCAAACTGCACATCCAAGACACCTGTGGCATCCACAACCTGCACGCCATGCCTGGGCTAATCGGAGGCATTGTGGGAGCATCCACGGCCGCCGCTGCCACGGAAGGAGAGTATGGGAAAAAAGGGTGAGTTAAGGAGGGTTGGTGCCCTTTTCAAGGGTGGTTGTGGGATGCTGTGTTTTGTTGCTGTTGTTAGCTTAGGGTGACACAGGGGGTCACCCCCCGGACGCTCTGGATTTTGTGGGGCCATAGTTCCCATCGTTGAAGGAAAAGAAACTCCTTGACAAAGGAATGTGCATATTCCGAAACTTCTTGGTTCGGAAAAAGAAAAAGCAAACCATCTGAATCCATTGCGACTCCTGATTTGCCTTGGCAAAGCTGAAGATTAGACAAGTTAACTGCTAATTTAATGTTATGTAATATAACTTCGACTGCTCTACCCTTCCTCCAACTGACCAACATGGCCCTTGGGACTGGCGGTTTGAAAAGTAACTTTTCCAAGCCGCGGGCAAACCAGGAATGAACCAACGAAAGAGCACTGGGTTATATTTTTGTACGACGTGGAAGAAGAGCTACCTTGCCTTCTCTTTTACTTCTTTTTTAAATTTTACTCCTCCTCTTGCAGGCTCATCCAGGCTTTTGACTTCACCGGCAAATACAGCTCGAGGACGCCAGTCATCCAGGGAGGATACCAGGCAGCTGGTATTGCTGTGTCACTGGCCATGGCCTTGGCAGGGGGAGCGATTGTAGGTGAGGGGCGAACCGTCGCTCAGTTGCCGAGGAGCTGCTTTGCATTAAAAACCAGAACAAATTTGCCATTTCTGTGAAATCTGAGCCTCCACGAGCCTCCACTAACTAATAATAATAATTATTATGTGCCCTCAAGTCAATTCTGACTACTACTGACCCTATCCAGGTTTTCTAGCTGAACAGTACTCAGAAGCAATTTCCCCATTTCCCTTCTTCTGGAGTGTCCTGAGACTACACACCTTGCCTAAGGCTACGTAGGTTGGCTGTTCTCTAGCGCGGCGTAGTGGGGATTTGAACTCCCAACCTCTGGGTCTGCAGCTAGTTACCTAAACCACTGAGATATCCAGCCAACTAATTCTGATTTATATTGACCTTTTCCAGGGTTTTCCAGGTAGAGAATACTCAGAAGTGTATTACCCTTCCCTTCCACTAGGGGCGCTGTGGGACTGTGCAGCTGGCCCAAGGCCACCCAGGCTGGCTGTTCTCCCAGGAGGCACCGTGGAGGAATCAAACTCCCAATCTCTGGCTTCTCAGCCAGAGACTGAAACCATTGAGCTATCCAGCCAGCTTGCCACTCATTTTGCACAAGCCTTAATTATGGAGGAGAAGTGGAAGCAACCAAGATATAAAATAATTTCAGCTTTTGGTTTTCTTTCCTTGAGGTGGCATTTTGAAATTGCCTTTCTTTGGAGACCCCACGGATGAAAACTGCTTTGAGGACAATGTTTACTGGGAGGTAAGCGTTTTAGACCTTTTTGGCAAAAAAAAATGATATTGAAATCCTGCTTTGGGAGCCCCTGTATGACCCATTTTTCTCCACGATTGCTTGGAGTGGAACTCCGTGGCTTTCACACTTCACAAATACTTCTGATCTATGTCTTGACTCACAAAAATATACCTCTATCAATGTCCTTGAGAAAATATATTTGGAAACTCATTTTCTAACCTGAAAGGGATCTGTATTTGAAATGTTTTACTATTTCAGTAGAATATGATTGGAAGTGCATCTTTTGAGTGGGGAAACACCAAGAGATGTGGAATAAAGCTATATACAAACGGTGGTGCATATTTATTTTTACAAAAATGCAAACGACAGAGGGGGTGGATGATGTGGTCTAAAAGGATGAACGCAGGAGAATGCTTGATATGATACAAAATGTAGTGGGAACCAAAATCTGCAGGAAGGGAAGCTGTCAGTCAGCAGCTGGGCCATTCCTTATCATCTGCAGTAGTAAAAGCAGCGAAAGTCCATGTTTACCTGTGTGCACACGCATGAGCAAAAATAACACATGTAAATGGCCATTTTTCCAGAGTATGCTAAATTTGTGGACTGTGGCGCAGCCAGAAAAGTATTGCTAACAATTCGGGCCCCAGATGGCGCTATTGTCCATTATTTACAGCCCAATGGGGTCTTGAGGGCTTCTAAAGATGCATTTTCCAGGTCTCGCAGGGTTGGCCCCATCACGATGCAGTGGGAAGCAGCCACCTCAACGGACTTAAGGAAGAACTGGGACAGCCACCCCCACCCCCCAGTCCTTCCACCTGATCTTCCTGGGACCTGAAACGACTTTCCGTGGGGATCAAACTCTCTCTGTGTCTAAGAGCTGCACAAGTCTGTTTCTCGTTATGGAATGGAGGGACCGTTAGCTTGATTTCTTGGACCAGCCTTCTCAGGATCCCCAGCCTCCAGGGTGATGCGCCAACAGGTGTATGGCAGTAGCGATGTGACCTAATGGAGGTGTTTCACTTCACCTGCACAGGTACCCGGAGACGAGGAAAGCAACCTGTACTGTATGAATGACTCTAATACGAAGACAGGGACAGATCACTAATTTGGCCTGAGCCGTCACCGGACAGGTAAGCTGGTTTTTGGGCGGTCCTGCTTCATTTCCTTTGGAATGTCCCCTTTTCAAATATTGAAACCCGTGCTGACCTTTAAGAGGGGACCGAGTGGCAGGACGATGACCCCTAGAATTCCCAGCTTGTGCGTCCCATGATCAAAGACTATGGGAGTCGTAGTCCACAACATCTGGCGTGCTAAAGGTTTGTTCCCTCTGCCTTAGGGCAAGGAAGTCTGTTTCAAAAAAAGCAGAGCTGTTGGCAAGCCTTTGGGTCTGAATCCCATGTCCAGATCTTTGGTACGGAGTCCCAAGGCTGAATTCCTCATAAAAGCAAGATTTTTTTCCCCCCATCAGTGGTGAAGTCAACATTTGCAACCCCTAGGCAACTTGTAAGACCAACTCTGTTGGGTAGTAACACATTGCAAATGCAAATGACACTTGGAGCTGATGAGGAAAAGGGTGTCGCATCTCAGCTTCTGACGTCGCTTCTCCACTGTTCTTGTCTTGCAGGAAAACCAGAGAGATAATCAACCTCTCCATTTGGTTTGCTCCCTCAAAGAAATGTTTGTGGTTTCCTGGGAAACACATCTAGTACACCAAGGCTCAGCTGGGTGCTCAGATCTTCTCCCAAAGGCAGCATGCAAGGTGACAAGGATCTCCAATCCTCTTGAGAACCTCCTCCATCATGTCTCCCACTGCCAGCAACCAAGGGAAAGCTGGAAGCATCCTACGCTGGTGCCGGTCCAAACAGAAAGCATCGCCATCTCTGAATGTGAGAGATCTCTGCATGACTGCAAAGAGTCAAAGATCACACCCGGCCGAGAAGACGAGAAATTCTAGATCCTGGAAAAACCAATAAATGATTTCATTTCATTTCATTTCATTTTTGCACTGAAAGAACTAGGATAAGCACTTGGAAAAGTAGAAGCAACAAGCGTGTTTTTAAAGCTTTCCTACTGAAATCAATAGATCTTGAAAAGGATTTTAACATTGCTAACAGAGTGTTCCTAGCTTTATTTCCTTTCAAAAATAATATCCTGCAAGGACATTGTTTTATTGTATTCATGCATTCCCTCCCTCTTGTTATCCTTCTGTTATCTGATTACAGGAGGATCCCCCCCCCCATCCATGGGATCAGTATTCACTGATTCACTTATCTGCTGGCTCAAAATATTAAATAAAAAACCCCAGAAATATGTATTTATATGTATTTCCAGGGTATATTTACCAGAACTGGACACTAGAGGGAGCCAAACACTGTGCAATGTATCGTGTTTGCTACTTCTGTATTTTTCAGGACCCCTACCAGACCTTAGAAGTAACAAGTAACAGTTGTGTGTAACTAGTTACATTTTGGGGTAATCGGGATATAACAAAGTTACATTTTGAAAGGTCAATAAGCATTAGGACTGCAGTTACTTTATTGGTGTGGCGAGTCATGCTTTTAATTCCTTTCAGAAGTTACATTGAAAGAGAACTACAAGGTGGTTCAGAGGCATTTCGAGCACATTTATCAAGCTTTATTTCAAGGTATTACCAATCTTAAATTTCTTTCCCCCTTCAAAAGTAACAAAGTAACGGAAAAGCAACAAGCCGCGCCAGCAAGCATACCAAGTCATTTCTCTTTCAAAACTGTAATAAGTAATGGCTACCGGTTACTTTTCAAACATTATAGCAAGGCACGGGAAGAAGTAACTTTTTAAAAAAAGTAGCTTCTGATCCTTGCGACGGCACTTCTTTTTGTTTTTTTTTGTTTTTGACAAATAAGCCTTTCAATCCAGTTTGCCTAACCAGCCCCAATGAGAATGGCCTAAATGTATTTGAGCGTTCAAACAGGGGTGAAATTGAACTTGGTGGTAATGAGGGTGCAACACGATGTGGCAGTCCAAGGTCAGATAGCCACAGAGGGAAATGTGACTTGAGCTTGACAAGACCAGTCATTAGAAACAGAACTACCTTAAGAAGCAAAAGACATCTGTTTATCTTAGCATCAGCTTGCTGGACACCAGAAAGGGAAACACAGGCTTCATTTGCAATTAAAATGAAAAGGAATGCAATCTGTGATAAAAAGAAACATACGCTGACAATAAGGGAGGTGGAAGTGAAAGTAGGAAGAGCATATAAAATCCATCATCATGGCCAACAACAATAATAAGTCATTCAAATTAAGAAACTGGAGGGGGGGAGAGAATGATAAGACAGTTAGACCAGTGGTTCCTAAGCTTGGGTTCCCAGATGTTCTTGGACTAAAGCTTCCAGATGCCTTCACCACCAGCTCTGCTGGCCAGGATTTCTGGGAGTTGTCGACAAGGTTTGTGTGTGAATAGACTCTGTGTCCGTCCGAATGGGATAAGACATATGCTAGACCCAAACAGAGGTAACAGGAATTAAAATTCTAGGGCTTACCAATCGACTAAACATGAATAAAACGCCAGGTTTAGCTCTGCCTCAGTTACTGTATATCATTTTCAAACTACTTTTACCTATCATCTCTCCATCCTGCAGGGCCTGCCGTTAGTAATTTGGGGACTGGGGTTATTCTCTGCTAGTGAGCACGGATGGATTTCTCCTGAAATACAGAAGCGAATTCTAAGTTCTTCATCCCAAATGACAAACTCCTAGATTCCTTAGGAGGACACGGTGGCTGGCAAAGTGGAGTCAAACGGCTATAATTCCTGAGTGCAGAGACACCTCTGCCACAAAGAGCTAAAACAAAATGTCAAACAGCTTTCGAAGGATTACTTCAAACTGGGTGGACAGGCAAGGTAATGTTGGCGATTCAACATTAGCCAGAGTTGAGGAAATCTACATTGGGTAAATAAACCCACTTAAAACCTGCAGGCTTGGTGTTTGAGCTGGTAATGATGAACAAGGTGGGAGAGCTAAGCTCCTATGGACTAACTTTTTTTAAGTGTGTAGCACGTATTTCTTCAGTTTATTGCATAACACACAGGCCTTTGCAGAACACACACTATAAAATCAACACCGTACAATACAACGTAAAAGAAATTAACTTAAATTTCTAATCAAATGTAGAAGTTCTCAGATTTAAGGTAAATCTAGATATCTGAACATAAACATTAATCCAATTAGTCATCTTCACTATAAAACACTGAATCATTAACAAACACAGAGATAGAAATCGGAAAGGACCATGAGTGGGAATACGTTTAGCTGTCGATTTGGCTCATAGCTGAGGGGTACAGACTTTGTTTTTATGAGTATTCGGTAAACAGTTGGTTCCCACATTACAAGAAAGAAAGAAAGATTAAAAATGAAATTGTAACTGCTTTTGGCCTGCAACAGAAATTCAAAGCGAAGCAGTCTTGGGAGCACTGTGCAATTTTCCCAACCGATGCATTTAAAAAAGTGATTTTTTTTTTTAAAAAAAGTAAAAGCCATGCTGGTTGTGGATTCTGGGAGTTGTGGTGCAAAAAGCAACACTTTCAGACTCTCGTCAGCTGGGGTAAGCATAAGAAGCTTGGTAAAAGCAGGCCTGTATGCTGGGGGCCACTTTGCACCCCTCTCAATCCTACCCCAGGGGCTTTGAGTTCCCAGCCTGGCTTCCACCACCCCCCTACTCTTTTTTTCCTGCAGCTGTAAATGTTTTAAATAAAGAGATTTTTCATAAAAGGCACTCAATGTCTGCACCATTTCCTCCTCGGAAGAAAATGCTCTCTTCTCACTCAACCCTCCTTTTCAGGAATGGACAGAAGTCCACTTTAGAAATAAGACATTTCTGGTTCATTTGCCTTCCCTGAACTATCCTGCATGGACCAAGAAAATCCGGCAAGATGTAGTGGTCATCCTATAATAATGAAAAGCTGCCATGAGTGACAGGTATTGGGGGGGTCTCACACAGTGAGGCACGACTGTGATCCCATCATCCTGCCACCAACACTTCCCGGCCAATGTCAAGAGGGAGCTTAGGTTGAAAAAGCAAAGCACCTACCCCACAACCGGGGTTGTAGGGAGCAAAAGTCTATCCGACTTGGGAAGGAAGCAGAGCTGCGGGGAAGGGGGTTTCTGAGAGGCTCGTAGGGAACAGAAGCCATTGGAATTTCAGGCCTCGTCTTTTGGTGGAGGATTAAGAGGCGCCCCTTGAAAGCACCGGGGTGAAGCCATTGACCGAAGCTGTCGGGAAAGAGGTTCCCATGGGGTGGAGGGGAAAGTGGGTGGAAAGGAACTGTGTGGAAAGAGCCTCTCGGGCCTGACCTGGACACTTAATCCCCTGGGAGCTGCAGGCCAAGAGGCAGAAACGAGGTTGAAAACAGGAGCCAGGCAAGATGGCGGATTACCCCAAAGGGGAGGCTGTTCCTTGGTGCCGGGATGGGGAAAGAGGCGGAATGGAGAGCAGCGGTCCTTAATCCTGCGGGTGGTAGACAGGGGGGGCTACCTAAACAGAGTGGGGGCCCTCCACCAGGTTTGATCTGGCCCCCCTTTCTGCTAAGGAGAGAATCCTTCAGGTAGGTTTCCATTGCTGCGCACATGAGAAACGCAAGCTTTTGGCCAGTTCACACATGTATGGATACTGGTAGCCCTTGATGACTCCACGCTCCATGGTGCACAGCTCTTGCTTTGTACTGCAACTATTTGTGTGTGTGTGTGTGTGTGTGGTGTGTGTGAGAGAGAGAGAGAGAGAGAGAGAGAGAGAGAGATCAAGCAGGAACTGACTTATAGCAACCGTCGTGGGGCTTTTAAGTTATTTAAGGAGTGGTTTGGCCAGTTCTGCTCCCCCAGTGACTTTTCCATGGCTGAGTGGGGATTCAAACCCAGTTCTCCAGAGTCCTGGCCCATCACTTCATCCAACACACCACACTGGCAACGGTAGTCTTATTTAATCCGACTGTGAGTTCCAGTAAATGACAATGCATCGATATTATTAAGCCAAACAATAACAGTAAGAATGCAAAATACACCCTTTTGCCTATCTTATGTCTTTTTAAACTCTGGGGATGCTCAGCCACATCCCGGTGTGTTTCTATCGACTAGCCGTCCTGCCTGATCTGCTCCCTCTTAGTTGCTTCCACCCGCATATTCGTATACATGCCCGCGCAGACCTCTCATTGGTGTGTCTGTGTGTGCGTGTTCAAAACTCTCTCCAGACTCTTCTTAAAGAGCTGGCAAAAATGTAATCAGATTAAGGCAGCCAATCCCTTTAATGCCCCTTGAAAAGGACATTGGGTTTCTAATCAGGATCTTGCTCTCTGACTCACAAGATGTCTTAGGAACCCGGCAGGGGTCAGGCCGTCTGGAGCGTGAGGAAAAGGAGAAGGGTGTCCTTTTCTCCCTTCTCCGTCCCTTGTAATTACGTCAATTTAGCAGCCAAATTGTTTGGTTGAGTGGACGTCCGAGGGCTTGACCATTCTATACACACCCTGCTTTATTCATGTGCTAATAGGGTCACCGAGTCTCAGGGTGCTGTGAGGGAATTGCTTCTCTGGGTCTCCGTGCCATCTCCACACAGGAAGATCAAATCTCAGGGTGAACAAGACACTGGAAGAGGAGGGAGTTTGATTTTATTCTGCAAAATGGTGTTAAAGCTTGGGCACCATTGAGGGCCACACAAAGATGCTTCTAATGTCTGTTGCACTTGTTATAGTTGCACAGAATGGGTGCAAGAATTCTCATTGCCTCCATCTCTCCAGCAGAGGTATACGCACACTCTGTTTTGGAATGGTTCAAACAGGATCTCCTCCAGAGATATCACCAGAGTCTGCACAGACACACACACACTGGTCTTATGCTTCGGTTTTGAAATAAAGTTGACCTGTTGGCCAACTTCAGAGGGGAGACACTTGGCTTTCCCAGACCACGAGACACCATTGGCCTTGGGAAGGGTTGTGAAGCTGTTCCGGGGCAAAAACTGATTT